TCTGATTTCGCCCAACTCTTATGATGCAGCGAATTTAACAAGCCACCCCCGCTGTGGTTTCAGCAGAGCAGCCTGGTGGGACTTGGTGACCTCTCTCAAGATCCACAGGCTCGTGAGAGGACAGAATTGCCATTAAGTGGGAGAAGAACTGGTTTAGCTAATAGGCTGCCTTGACTGGCTTACACCATGCCTGACCTTGGCCCTCCCTTCCTCAGGTTGTCTGGCGCTTAAGCAGGGAAATCTCCCTGCAGTTTCAGTCATCACCTTTTGCCACTCCTGTCTCCCCTTTAATGAGCATCCCTGCATGTGCCCTGTACCGGCAAACAGCGAACAGCGAACAGTGCTGCGTCTGCAGCTCGCTCACCTGCTGTGCATGGGGCATGCCGCCTTGGGGGATTTGAGCTGAAACCGATCCATCAAGAAGTGCTGGTCATAAATGGGTGGCGTAAAGGCAGACACACACAGCGGCCGGCTTTGATTTCCTCCTCCCCACATTCCTTTTTACTCATCATGGTGGTGTGTGGCTCTTTGTGCTGAGGGACCCTGATGGGGCTGAGAGGTGTGAGCCAGCCAGCTCAATTCCCTAGTTAGTACTGCATGGCCCCAGGCAAATATCTGGAGGAGCCCAGTAATTGTGGCCAATCCAGGCATGTGTGGGGATAGGAGGGCATTTATGGGGAATTCATCAGGGTCTCACAGCTCTTCCAGGGACTTCTCGCCTGCTCACCAGCTGAGCGGGCTTGTTTTGTGCTGTCATCAACTTTCTTTAAGGGTTGGCTGGTGATGGCATGCAGTTCCCTTCTCTGGGACAAAGCATCAGGTGCCAACGGGTTCTTTGATCCAGCAAAGCGGAGCAGAGCAGGAACTGGCAGCAGGAAATCGAAAGTGGACACACTCAAATCTGAATCAAGGCACCACTGAGTGTGCTTTCCAAAGGCACGTGCACAATGGCTAAGCATTGGGATAGAGCTGTGTGTGTGAGAGAGCGAGCGAGCGAGCAAGTGCATAGGTGCCTGATCACAGGTGACATTGTGTGAATCAAGAGTGAATGGGGCAGGTGTCAGAGCAGTGGACTGGGTTAGCTCAGACACTGCAGCCACTGAAGGCACAATCCTTTGCATGCTTAGACAGCATTCTATGTCTTCCAGCATTCCTCAGTGGATTGCTGGCAATATTTTCTGTCTAAACACGCATAGGATTGTTTTCTGAAGGGCTCTATTTGCCTAATAGAACTGGGACTCAGGCCTGCAGGAAGCTGCAGAATGCCCAGAAAGCTCTGTTCCTGGAAATGGGGAAGAAGGGGGGAAGCTACCTGAAATTGTTCAGAGATTCTGCACATGCTCAGAGACACTCCTAGTTGTAGCCAGTGTCTAAATGCAGAGGGTGGGGGAGGGGGAACAGCTCCATCCATCCGATATATGAAGTGAAACTCAATGTTGTTGGTATTTTACCATGTTGCTACATATACCTCATTAGCATTTACATTCAGGGTGCAGAACCTCAGGATCAGGATCCAGATCCCGCATTCCCAGAAGGTCACACAGCTTTCTCCTGATCTCCGTCTGTTTTGTGGGTTTCCCAACTTTTTCACAGTTTCCACCTCAGCACCATTCCATAAGTTTGAAATGCCTCTCCTAAGGCTTAGTTATTAGCAGGAATAGATTTAAGCTACACTACGCTGTTTTGATTGGGGGTGTGGGGGGGTGTCTGCTGGCCCCACCCCTTTTGTTTTTGGCCATGCCCCCTGCTGAAATGCAGCCCCCAAGAGCTTCTTGGAATGGAATTCAGCCCTAAAGTAAAAGAGGTTCTGCACCCCTGATGTAAATAGCTGCAGTTGTGATCAAGGCACTGATGTATACAAACATGCATACATACCTATGTATGCATTTAGAGCACCAAGAACTGTAAAGGTTTGCACAATATAGTGCTTTGTATCCCTGATAACCAGCCTGTAAAATGGATCAATATTATTTCCCCACTACTGCAGACTGGGTGGGAGGACAGAGACGCCGGCTCGCCTGTGGCCACTATTGTGGTCATGACTGAGGTGAGATTTGAACCAGGGTCTTGCTGGCTCAGCACTCACATTTCAGAGGACAAAATGGGACTTTGGATGGTGCTGTTAGGTGCTACACAGATGCCCCTGGTCTCTCTGTGCTACGACCATGTTACTGAGAAAGTAGTATATGACCCTTCATTTAGGAACAGTAGAATGTATTACGGCAAAGATTCTCAAACTGTACGCCATCAGCTCCATTCTGGATGATCTGTGGGAAGATTGCAAAACAGCTGAGAATGTCTGTATTTGGCCCTGCACTTAATTTGCCTTTTTCTGACAGTGGAGATTGAAGCTATATTGGATTTATCTAAGAGGCTAACAAGGCCTAAGGTCTCTGATTTTCATAATGTGCCGGGATGAAAGTTAATGGTCCTGGAAAATGTGTGAGTTAACGGGGCCCTTCCCAGCAGCATGGCTAGGAGCAGGGGTGAACCTCATGAGAGCCTCTGCCCTGGCTGCTGCTGCTGAACTGTGGTGCCCAAAGCCCCAGCGGTTTTGCAAGGAAGCAAGGTGCACTGCGTGACTTATTCCAAGCAGAATTGCCCTCCCCCGAGAGCAGTCCTGCTTGGAAACAAGGCATGCACACCCCGCTTGCCTTGCCTCATTGCAGGCTTGCCATATGGTATGTGCTGGCAGCAAATCCAGTGGTACTGCAAGGCAATGTGGTTAAGAGTGTGGACTGGGCCCCCACTCGGCCATGAAGCCCACTGAGTGACAACTACCTCACAGGGTTCTTGTGTGGATAAAGATAAAGCGGCCTTGGGTTCCTTGCAGGAGGAAGAAAGATGGGATATAAGTGCAAATTATTGCTATTATTACTTTGGCAGGTGAGGCATAATGGGGAAAGGTAGGGTTTGATGGGTCCCACTGCCCAGAGGTTGCCCACCCGGGGCCAAGGCCTGTGATCTTCCAATTGTAGTTCTGCTTTGATGAGGAAGATGTTGCTGATGAAGTTTATTACATGGTACTCTGAGATCTCCAGCAATTTCCAAGTGGCCAAAAAAGAAGAGTATTTGAGAACTGTTGGATTAGAAGTGACTAGACTTATTTGCCATTTTGTTTATCTGTGTGTCTCACTTTAAACAAGTTTATTGAGTTAGATCCCAGTATGGGGCCTGATCGGCTCAGTTCTTTGCCACCCTGAAGATGCTTCAGCAAGACATTTTTACTCCACTCTTGAATTGTGCTCAGTTTCTTACAGGCTTTGGCCATAGAAACCGCAGAGGTACCAGGGTTATCTGCATTCTTTTGGAAATGGTAATTGGCTCTGTCTCCTATGCCACCTCTTTGGGTCTTCTTTAGCCCCCTGTGCTGCCACTTGGGGCTTGTGCCACCACTTGGTGCTATCATGGAAGCAGGGGATTAGCACATTTTGAAGTTCTAGTAAAATGTATCAGTAGCTCACGCCAGCCTATAGTTAGCCCGCCATTGTCCTAAGTCCACTCAGAAAACCATGGGAGGAGACAAGAGGGTGAACAGATTCCTTTCCCTGATGGCCGGAGTGACTTATGGGCCGAAATGTAGAATCTCCCCTCTGGGGCCCACTTCGAGGGAAGCTTTCCCATACTGCCCCTTTGGAAGGATGTGGAGTCTTGTAAGGCTTTTGTTAAAGAGAAGGGCCAGACTCCCATGAATCAGACCACTCTGCTGATGGCCAGGGGCACTGTCCGTCCACCATGGCCTGTTGGTGAACTGCTGTGTTGGCAGGGAAGCTTCCCGGAGCAAGCGACTGATGGGGCATTGAACTCCGCATGGATAGCACAGGTTAATTGAACTCAGATTCTGTTCTCCCTACAGTACCCAATGCTTCTGGGTGGGGTTTTTGAGAAAAAGAAGCGATCCACCATATCTGGCAGGCTTGGGGGTACCATCATCATTCGGATCCATCCATCCCTCATGGCTGGTGGCCATGTCTATACAAGCCATCCTCCATTAATCTTTGGCATGGGCATCTTGTGGGGAAGCAGCTTTGGATGTGAGCTTGGAAATCTCTGCAGTTGTGACTCAGCCATGAGGTCTCACGAGGTAGAATTTAAGCATAGCTGCATTTTGTCCCAAGTGGTGAAGCAGCAGTTTGCAGGAGGGGGAAGGGGCAGGAATTCAGTGTGAGAAAGCAACATTCCCCCAGTTTGATTGCTCTAATCAAAAACACAGTCCCTCTGCCAGTATACATGGATTTTAAAGTACGAAGAATACTGGTCTGTCATGATTCAGACATGTGGATGTGGGTTTTTTGCCTCAAGGTAAAAACAGGACCTCTCTGATGGCCCGGTGAAGCAGTGCAAATAAGTGTAGGCTCATGAGTCTTGGTTGTGCAGTCCGGTGCACTTGCTGAATTTGGCTTACGTGGAATTTTGGATTCTTAGTGGGTTCTGCAGTTTCTGTGATTGAAATGTATTGCCAAAGGGGTAGCAGGCTTCACAGCCTCCCCAGGACTCCTGGTATGCCCGTTATGTAGATATGAGGCACCCATGGGCCACAAACTATAAACAGTGTTGCAGTGGTAGGTGTTGAAGGACAGGCAGTCGTTCTTATGGCCCCCATCGCTACAGCTCCAAGTAGTGGACAAAATGCAGGCAGATGTGTTGATCCATAGCAGTAACCCTGTTCTCCAACAGGATCAGTTCTCTTATCCTGCAAATGGACCTTTGTTGCCTGTTCAGGATCAAGCCACCCCAAAATTCTTTGCATTGCAGCAATACATTGAAGCTAGAAAAGCAAGCTGAGTTCAAGGGAGCAGGGAAGCTGGAAGAGGTGGTAGATGAGCTCAGGGTCCCTGCTAATCTCAGAGCTTCATTGCTGAATCCCATGAACCCCAGTTCCACTACAACACTAGTTGTAATCCTTGGTGGCCATGATGATGCCCAGACACTTTTCATGTGCCCTGCATGGGTCATGCTTCCAATAGGATGTAACACATGGACAAGTGAAGGATCAGAGGATGCCTGGTCTAGTGCAATTAAAACTCCTCCTTTCTGTCCTTCTTTGATAGGTTGTCTGTGTGGAGGGCCATGTGAGCAAGACCCTGAACTACCTGGAGATGAGTCCTTCAAGTGTCTTGAAGAATGGGCCATATGGTACTGCTTTGAAACCTCACTCGCTCAGTCCTGCCCGGATATTTTCCAGTGAGCCATCCAAAGCCAAACTGGACCCCTACAGTGGCGCCCTGAATCCCTGGGACTGGAGCAAGAACCAGACAGCCATGGAGCATTTCAACCAGCGAGCCAAGAGGAAGCCCTCCTTGAAGGCAGGCCGTACCAAGAAGATCTTTGGCTGGGGGGATTTCTACTTCAACATCAAGACCCTGAAGTTTAGCCTCCTGGTGACCGGAAAGATTGTGGACCACATCAATGGCACCTTCAGTGTCTACTTCCGGCATAACTCTTCCAGTCTGGGCAATGTCTCGGTGAGCATAGTGCCACCCACCAAGGTGGTGGAGTTTGATGTCTTGGTCCCCCCTATCCAAGCCCAGCACCTCCATCCCCAGCAATCTACCTTAGCTGAGCCCAAGGAATCCAAGACCTTCAATTGCCACGTGGAATACGAGAAGACCAACCGGGCACGCAAGAACAAGCCATGCCTCTATGACCCCTCCAAGATCTGCTTCACTGAGCATACGCAGAGCCATGCCGCCTGGCTGTGTGCCAAGCCCTTCAAGGTCATCTGCATCTTCATCTCCTTTTTCAGCATTGACTACAAGCTAGTCCAGAAGGTCTGTCCAGATTACAACTTCCAGAATGAGAATCCCTACTTTGGCTGACAAGGGGGATGGGCGATGGAGGGGATGGGGATGTGGGGGAGGTTCATGGAAGTGTGGGGTTTTCTCTGGGGAAGAGTTGGAAGAACTTTGGATGGCAGCAGAAGAGACAGGAGAGAGACACACACACCCAAACTCCTTGCTAGGTGCGAAAAAGATGAAGAGAAAGATGGTTTTGAACTGGAACTTACATTGCTCCATCTGATATGGACATTCCCCTCCCGGCAACCACAAAACTTCCCAGGACTTTTGGAAGTTGGAGACTGACCAGAGGGACAGCATTGCTTTTGCACCTCATCTGTCCCCTTTCTGAGGCTGTTTGGGGCCGGGGAGGGGGGTGCCTTGTGGGAGTTTCCAGCAATATGAAGAACTAGTCTACTGTGGCTGTATCCTTTTTGTGCATCAAAAATGAACCCCCGCTGCTTCTCTGGGGCTGTATACAGACTGATGGGCCCACATCCCTTGGGATATGGCCTCTCATGTGGATTGTAAGAGTGCCGGTGGTAGCCTTGGGTGTCTTTCTCCTTTGGGCTGAGCCACCGGCTGTTCTGTGATTGATCTTGCTGCTGGCCTGGCTGGGGATGTCGGAGAGGGTGGATTGACCCTGGGTGCCAGCTCATGCCTGCACCAGCCACTCCAGGACACAAAAGACTGGCAGGACATAGAGATGCTGCCAGCCACACGAACTCACCGGTTCCCAGAGCCGCGAAATGTGGAGAGTGTGTGCGTGGGTGCCAGCCACATTAGAAAACGGGGGCTGATGTCAGCTGGAGCCGAGCTGGGCAAAAAGAGGCAAGGTGGAGTGTGTTGCTGAGTCCATGTCACGCTTGCGTTCCCTTGAGAGAGGCCTAAAGAACAGGAGGGGGACGTGATGCAGCTAGGATGGCGACGTTTCCCAGGGAGTGTGTGAAAGTGGAGCTGCGAGTTCTCAGCAGAGGCTCATGCAAGTGTTAATAGAAATCCAAATGGGTGAGTTAGAGCAGTAAGGAAGGCCAGTGTTGGACTGGAAGATGTGTGCGTGTGCAACTTCAGCGGAGGCTGCATGTATCCACAGCATGACGGCTGGCAGGAGCGCGCGCTACCTTAATGTATGTGCTTGTTGCCTTAATGATGTATGTATCCGCAAGAGTGTTCATCTGGGTCTGTAACTAGAAATGTATACGTGTGTTAGCAACAGTAGTGAAGTGTGTATGAGTTTTAATTAGGGCTGCGAGCTTGCATTGATTTCTTTGGCCAATCGATTCGCTAGAGCTTTAATCACAGATGAAAATTTGTCCCCTGATCTGTCGGCGGCGCTGACACGGAAGGGCGTATCCTTGTACAATCTTCACAGCTCCCTCCTTCCCATGGAAGGGTTTTCCTTCAAGTTCGCGTCCAAAGCTTGCCGATAGTTTTCATTTTCAGGGTGAAGCCACTTGGGGCTTTCTTGCCAGCAATAAGAAGCACAAAGCTGACAGCACTCTCTTGAAAACGACATCAATTTGTCTTTTAAATCTGGATCTTCCACAATACTTAGGGATTTGAAGTTGTTCACTTTTGAAGCCATTTTTGGCTCTGGCATGTTACTGTAATTGGGAATATTCTGTTTGGGAAAAAAAATGTAAAAGACAGTCTTAACAGAAAGCAGTAGCTTTTGTTTATTAAATTGGAAGACTGTCTTTCCTGCTGCAACTTCAAAAAAACAGCTGTTTGGGTTTGGGGGATTTTTTCCCTCTTGGTGTTTTGGGTTATGTGGAAACACATTTAAATTGAAGTGATTCATTGTTCAAAACCCAGGATTAATCAGCCAACTTGAAAAAAAGCAGTTCACAGCCCTAGTTTTAATTGTGCATATGTTTGGTCTTAACATTTCATCAAAGTGTATAGAGATATTTGAGTGTGCATGTGGGTGTGGGTGTGGGAGAGAAAAGAGCAAGTGAGGGAGAGCATTATTAGGGATCTGAATGCTTTTGTTAGGAGCATCAGTCAGTCAGTCCCTGGAGGCATTGGTGAAGCAGTTTACTGGGAGTCTGCGTGCGATTGCACATGCTGGTGGGTGGGTGTGCAAGGGCTTGGCTTATGCATGACTGTACTGGAAAGAGAGGCCAGACTCAGTTCTCATAAGAACAGAACTATGTTGAATTCCCCCAGTTGGGCTTGCTTAGATAAGCCTTCCAGAAGAGTTACTCTGGAGCACCTTCAGAGCACCTTCTCCTGTGTGTCACAGCCTGGTCTGGAGGGCTTAGACCAGGATGCCAAACCCTGGCTCAGGGGCCACCAAGAAGGCCACATCTGGTCCTCAAAAAGCCACACCCCTTCCCTTTCCCCACTGCTTTGCCACAGCTATGGATAATTTGGTTGTTCTCAGCTTTTGCACATTTTGCTCTCAATGTTCAAAGGCTGAAATCCTTCTCCTCAGGCTTAATCTTTGGCAGTAAGAGTTCAAAGCTACATCATGCTGGTATATTCAGCCCTGCCCCTTTCCCCTTTGGCCCTGTCCTCTCTAGTCAGCTTTTTATGTTCATGGCATGCTAGGGACCACTCTCCTGTTTTCACTTCAGGTCTCAAAATTTCAAAATTTCTGTGACAAGTTCTTGCCTCATCTCCCTGACCTGCTAGTTTTTTACATGCTGGTGTAGAAAACTGTCTGGTTTGGTTTGCAAGGATAGCATTCAAACATTCCGGCTTCTCCCTGCATTCTGAACAGATTGCAGTCCTTGGAAGACAGCAGTTGTAGGATTTTTGTCAATCTGACCTTCAGCTGGAAGGTTCTGGACCCCAGATTTGAAGCTTTGGATTGTTCTTCAGGTTTGCAAACAAAACCTAAAGGCAGGATGTGGCTCCTCAAAAAATGATTAGAATTTTAACACACACTTTTTGCAAGGTAGTTTTGACTAAGCATAATCCACTCTATCATCACCTAAAGTACTTTGCTTTCACAAGTGAAGAGCACGTGGACAGGGGCCAGCCAGTCATGGAATATATCAGGCAAGGTGGATTTCCAGATGGAGAATGGTGAACCCGCTCTAACGGCAGGCAATGAATTCAGAAATACTGCAGGTTCAGGTATAACGAAATGAATGAATGACGACTTTGTAACTGCTGCTTACAAATGAAGGAAAATATTCCTGCTAAAATTCTTGGGGTGATGATCATGTGTTAAAGGCTGATCCCAGCTTTGGGAGGGTGAGGAGGGAACCTTCTAAGCTTCTGCAATTGGCTGGAAGTCACTTTATGCCATGCTGTACCTGATTTTAGAGGTACAGCTCTCATCTCTGCTGTTTCCTTCTTTTCACCACCACATCAGTGCTAAGGCAGAGTAGCGGATAACTGTAGGCGCACGCAAGTGAATGTATATGGTGTTCGGTGTGTGTGCAAGTGATGCACAATGACATACAAGAACGCTCCTGTCCGCCTCCAGGATAGGCATGAGTCCTTGTTACAAGAATAGCGTGCAGGTCTATGTATATCCACAATTGTTTAAGTGCTGGTGACAAGGTCTGTTTGCTCTGTGTGTGTCTGTGTTCGTTCACGCATGCCTGTGTGTTCCTGTGTTAGAACAAGCAGTATGAGGCAGCTGCCCACCTGGGTACGCTTACTTCTGTGCCAATCTTTCCCAGACATTTAGAGTTGATTCCAGATGTGGTCAAATTTAGAGCAGACCCACTGAAATCATTGGGAGCTAAGTTACTCATGGCTAATTTAATTAAATCCAGTTGATTTCAGGGAATCCACTCTAAGTTTGACCAAATCTGGATCCAGCCTTTAATATCAGTATGCACTTTTTTGTTTTAGGTTTTTTCCTGGCTTGAAGCTGAAGGCAGAATTCCTTCTTGCAGCCAAGGAATCACACACACACATACTCACCTCCCTCCCAGACCATCAGGCACACATTTTCAGCATAAAGGCAGGAAAGTGCAGTTTGCATTGTTCACCAGTACCCTGTCCTGCCCTTTGCCCACTCAGTCAGGACTTAATGGATGGAGCCATGGGTTTTCCGATGTTAAGAAAAAAGATGGTGGGAAAACAAGGGTAAGGAGGATTACGTCTGACCCCCACCCACCCCCAAAAAAGAAAAAACCATCAATGAGGTTGGGTGATGGCACTATAAAAGCTGCATCTGGGAGAACCGTGATGTTACATGTGTGTGCAGGTTAGGAATCCACTCCCGGCTGCAGCTTTGCAATGAGTTTGTGGACAAAAATTCTTGCACCATTTTTGCCAATAGAGAAAATGTGTAGAGGAAACGTTATTTGAGCCAGCTTTCGGTTATAATGTCTTGTTTTAATATATTCAAATAAGTTTGTATGGTTTTAAAAATTCTTATCTTTTGCTAAAAGGTAAGGTATTTATTATTGGTTGGATTTATAGCCTGCCTTTTCCTCTGAGGTCCACATCATGGCTCACCTGAGCCTTCTCTGTTTTATCCTCAGAGCAGCTCTGTTAAGGAAGTCTGCTCCGGGGAGTCAGGTCCCTGGTGCCTGTAGCCCAAGGCTACCTGCTCTGTTCACCTGGGATCCCAAGGCTTCTGCTCAAGGCAGGGCAGGGGAGGCTTAGCAGGGTGTCTGTATGGTGCTGCTGATGGCTCCCGTGATGATGCCGGTGAGCCTTGCTATTTTGGGGCCTCCCACTTGCTCTGCAGTGGTCTTAGCTGGTGAGTCAAGCTTGCTTCCCACAGTGCCATCACATAATGTCCAGCTTGAGGATGACCACTTGTCTTCTTTTATACAATACGCTCCTCTAATTGATGGGCTGTCTGAAGACGGTCCTCTGTTTCAAGCTGTCCTTTATTGAAGGGTTGCCCAGTGCAAATCCGGTGTGACAATAAAGTACTGGAAGGATCTGGAAAAGCAGGAGCCTTGTAGGTGCCCATCCACAGTTAGCACCTGTGCAGCAGACTGCTCAGGCCCGCATGAAAATCACCTGGGCTCCATCTTTCTCATTGATAATTTAGTCATTCTTTCTAACTGTATACCTAAAATGGGCACAGTATCTGCAAACATCTTTTCAGCAGAGGTGGAGGT